CTCGCCTAAATTCACTACGTTCAATTACCCACCATAGACTCCGGTCAGTCAAAATGACTATTTTGAACTGTATCGCACGGACCTCATGTTCTCGTACTTGGTATCTCTGCAAGGTCTGTGTTGAGGAGGATAGTGTATTATAGACCTCCAGTACAGTCGCAGTAATCCACCTGGAGATGGAAGTCGGGGAAGCCGGCTTATCCTGTTTGCCAGGGCCGTTACACAAAAACATGTGTTTGGTTCCCCGTCTAGAAAACCTGGTACGATTCTCGTAGCAACTCAGCGCTTGGACCAGGCAGAGAAGGAGAGGCTCAAAGGGCGGTCTGCTTAGAGCAGACAACACAGCCGACGAGTCCCAGTTGGGCGGCTCCCTTGTATGGGGTCTTGGCATCTGGAAAGCAGTAAATAGTCTCCTAATAATAGGACAATCAACTAGTCTTGTTCTCGTACGTTCTGAGTGGTGGGGGACAAGACCGACCTGTAGCCAACGCTCGCTGCGTAGGACAAACCCACTGGGCTGGGCTCGTTGGTAGTGCGCCGTCTGGTTGGGACGGCAGGTCCGGTAAGTCCGGAAGCACTGCTGGCGCTTCGACTAGCATTTCCAACAGAAGTGGAAACTAGGCCTTGCTTGGTCAATTGGGTGCAACCCATGATAATATGCGGGTGTGCACCTGTCGAAGTTTTCTCCGGTGCCCGGTGAACTAGCGGGAAGGGAGGAAAGGCATACACAACTAAGTGGGTTCATGGGGCTAGCAAAGCGACCCTGGCCCAGGCTCCTGGAGTCAGCAGGAGTGTTACGTACGTCGGGAGCTTGGCGTTCCAGGGTGCGGCAAAACGGTCCAACCTTGGACCGTCCCACGGCCGAAACAGCCTAGAGGCTACCCACTAGGGTATCAGCTACTCCGTGTTCTGGAGACGGAGCCGCCCTGAAAGGGCGTCGCCAGACTGTTCCTCACCCCTGAAAGATGGTGTGCGGTTAGCTCCACATTGTATTCCAGGCACCAAAGGAGGATTTTGCTCCGCTAGGACTGACAACGATGGGGAATGCGTCCCCCCTCCTTCTTGAAGGAGACCACCGCTGCGTTGCCTGTGCGGAGCAGGACTCTGTGGTCTCGGGTAGAAAGCGCGGTAGTGCTAAGTACACTGCTCTCAGTTCGAGCCGGTTGATATGGTAGTCCCGAAACTAATGCGGGGCCATATCCTTGGGCTTGTTGGCCCAATAGATGCGCTCCCCAACCCTCGGCGTTATAACAAGTGTTATACCAGGCGGCTGCGTAGTGCGGCCCTGGGGAACGACCCTTCCAACCGAGGTCATCATTTCGATGATCCGTATTAGTTCACGGAGGGACACCGAGGGAACGCTGACTAGGCATTCGGCTAGGCTGCTTAGCGCTAAGCAATACGCTTGAAATAGCTAAGCCAAGCTTACCTCTGTGTCAAAACTCCATGCCCAGGGACACCAACTGCACGTTGGGTCGAGGTGGGACTTGTCGATTTACTAATGAGCCCAACCGGTGAAGTAAATCCTGTGTTAGCCTGACGTGTTTGGCTATTACCCCTTGCACGCGTTGTTGTCTGGGTACGGATTGAAGTGTACCGACATCTGGTGAAGCAGCAGCACTACCTGTTTCATCACTCTGGTGAACACGTAGGGCGCTGTGCCTAACCCGAATGGGGGGACACCGAAAATTCGAATACTTGGCCCAGCTGGGCGATTCAAAGGAGATGACAACTCGCTGGGTGCATCGGTATGTGCAGGTAGGCCCCTCTTAAGTCTAGTGGGGACTAGCCAGTCGAAACGGTGGATAGAGAGAAGAACCCTGAATGGTGTCTCCATGTAGAACCAATCGAGGAGCACGTACTGATTCAGTCTGCCTAGGTCCAGAACTGGACGCCCGCCACTTGTAGATTTGGTACTACAAACACATTTGGGTAGAAGCCTGGACTTAGTTCCGGCTGATGTACCCTGTGTATGGCGCCTTTTCTCAGCAAACTGCTACTTCCTGTCTGATTGCTTCCGCCTTGTGGGAGTCCCCTGGCAGTGCCCAACAGGGGGACACTGACAGGGGAAATGGAGATTTCAGCGGTATTCCGTAACAGGATGTCACCACCTGGAAAACTCCAGGGAGCGGTCACCCGCTGTCTCTAAACCGGACTACACCGGCACAATCTGTGTACAACAGGAATATGTGGCCATGGGTTCGGCAGTTGCAAGCGGAGGTGCTCTCTTCTCCCGTGAGGTGAGTTCCCCAAGGCCTGAAGTAGTCACTAGGTTGTGACCTGGCCACTCGCCGAACACATGCCTGTACCCCTGGTTGCGGAGGTGAGCGGCTAACACGCACCCCCGCTGCTGGCGTAGACGTCCGCCCAGGGAGGGTGAGGAGCCACCACCTGACTCTTTCCTCCCTAGGGGCGCGCCACTACTCTTCCCTCCCATGGAAGGGTATGAGTGCTTGTCTCCTGGCTGACTCTGGCTAGCGGACGACGCCTCTAAGGCATTGTGTTATCTGTGCTTTGGGTGCTCTCTGCTTGCCCTTGGCAGGGCCAACTGGCTAGCGGATTCGATCTGAACCCTCAGGTTCATTGCACTCTGAAGCTCCGAGACTGTACCCACCAGTCCTTGAACAAAGAGGGTGGAAGATGTCCAGTCTGCGTCGCTAAGGTAGGGACGTACCCCCTCAACTCAGCTTGTCAGCAAGAACACGTGCGTCTAAGGCCGCGTCTCGTAGCACAGTAGTGGCCCGGCAAAGAGAGCCAGGTGACACTAGGGGGTGTTGCACGTAGATGTGCCGGACACAAGGATAAATTCATTACCGTTGTACCGTTACCGCATGACGAACCCTAGCTGGCTGAAAGTAGGGGCGGTCAACGTGTGCCCTGCCCTTAAAGCCCTGCCCTGAGATCGGAAGCTTGGCTGCCAGCACCACATTGGCATTCAGTGCCCGAGGCTCCAGAGGAGGCCTGGTGCAATTAGCCTCGGCCTCACCCAAAAATAGTGGGAGAGCTGCGACTGGGAACGGGGGACGTGTTTGAATGCAAACATGCTTTCGTGTTTCTTCCTGCTTGCCCACCAAGGGGCCGCAGTGGAAACAGCTCACTTCGTCTGCGTCTGATCTACCCGGCCTACCAGGGATGCAATTGCCCCAACAGTCCCTCGACCAAAGCCCTCAACTCTGAGGCAAACCCGGTGCCGTGCAAGGAAGGGTCCACAAAGGAACCTGCAACAGGTCCGATAGGAGGAAAGTCTCCAGGGGCACAGCCTCGCTGCAGCCGGTAAACCACCGTCTGAAAAAACAAACTGTAAGGATGCCCTCCAATCAGCGGGGGAGACCCAGAAAATTATCGGTACCTCCACCATCGGGCCTCCCGAACCCCGCACGCAGCTACGACAAAGTATCTCGGACGCGGGTCCTATGCTGGTAAATTCTGAATATAAATACTGCACAGTCAACCAAAAAGGAAAATGGCAGTGAGCCGTGATGCTGTCATTACATCCATACATTGCTAAATACATTGCAAATAAAAGACGACATGCATGAGGGAAAACGAAATACAGTTGTAAAAGTTGCCGCTGCGAAACCAACAAGTGGTTACGTAGTGGCGCCGGGTTTTAATTTCTTTGTTGTGAAAAATACTACACACAAAGGGGAAAAAACGACACGACGGTAAAATGACAAGGAAAACTTATCCTCCCAGCTACAATGTCGAATGCCGTGCAGCGGCAACAACCCAAGCTGAAACCCGGACAGGAAAAAAAGCAGGCGATCCAGCAGAGACGCTAAAACTTCATCCCCGTAGATGTGGAGAAAAAGAAATAGTGAATGTACAGCCATCTATGGCGATGCCATATGGCCTCGGTCACGTGGTTCGTGACGTAAAGGAAAGAGAATCTTGGGGGTCATGGGGCTTCCCCTGACCTAGATTCTATCTCTCCATCACCAGCAGAATCGCTGATTAATGCTTACAGTTCAAAATAGTCATTTTGACTGACCGGAGTCTATGGTGGGTAATTGAACGTAGTGAATTGAATCCTGTGAACAGCTTTAATTTCACTTAAAATTAATTAGACAAAACGTTAAAATCACAACATCAGTGAATGACCTTGCATATTTTGGGAAGAGACTTAAACAGTACATGATTGGCTACACAATCATCAAATATCAGCAAAATAATTCATACTGTTCTAAAATTTGAGGATTCAAACATTTTGCCAAATTCTTTAAATTATTATTATTAAATCATTATTAATGTTAATGACACAGTCCTTGTTGTAATCAAGATAAATGTTAGGTAATTGCCAAGAAGCAAGATAGCTGCAAGACTGCCATTTTTGTCTGATCACACATTGAATTGTTATGGACATGTATTGCTACATGCAATATACAATGCAATTAAATTGGATATGAAAAACACTGGTTATGTGATCAGTGTTTCTGAGTGAATTTGTAGTGTATGGTCAGTAATTGAGAGTGAATAATAGATTTAATCTAGTATCAACATAAATCAGACCTGTAAATTTGCAATTACAAACTCATATTTACAAACTCAAACTCAAGTAAAGTCTATGTCTCAGTATCGAGCGTGTCTCAGCTATTTGTCCTGGTGTTGACCAAGTGACACTCTTTCTAACAATATTTTCTTGGCAGGACTGTACAATTTGATGAGCATGAAATGATTATGCACATGTATACAAACCAGACGGTCATCGTTAATCAAATCACATAATGTATATCACCAGGTAAAATGCATGTCCTAAATTTGAATGAAAACTGTTCTTACTATGAAACAAACTGACATATACATGTATTCCAACATGTATGTATGTGCCAAATATGAATGAAAATATGGTCTATAAGTTTTGGAGATACAGTAATATGGCCAAAAAGCTAGATGGCCCTCAGTCTGCAATTTTTATTGTAAAATAAATTCTTATGAACAATTATAATTTTTGTAGCTCGTTGCTACAATGTAAACTTAATTACGTGAAAATTCACGTATCAGAGTAAAGAGGGAGACACACAGTTACCAGGTTGTAGGTTAGCGGTGAAGTTCCACTTTTTATCGCGTAACACGTGATCAGCTCATGACAACATACATGGCATAATGTGATTAGCTAATAAGGTCATGATCATGTCACATGTGATTATTTAACCCTAAGTCAATGAATAAAAGTACAAGAAACCATAGCAAAGTCAAAGATACAACAATAATAACATGCATAAGGCAAATACCAAATACATTAAAATGACAAATCATGTCCAGGTAACTATACACTTTCCAAAAAACAAGATAGCTACCTGTCAACCATCTTTGAACCGATCGTGAAACGAATCGTCCTGGATATGTATAATATATGTACCAAATTTGAACAAAAACTGATAAATCGAATCAATAAACTACTGCATGTGCATATGTCCAATATTGGGATTTCCGGATTCGGTCCAGAGGTTTTTGAAATGTGACAAAGGCAAGACGAATGGACAGCAACAGAATCATAGATCCCCATTTCAAACTTTGTTCACATAATCATACATTCTTTCATATTATGATCGTGAGGAAATCTTGACTTTGAAGGGAACTGTACTCCATGTCATACCCATAACACCTTGCATTCGAACATCTGGTTCAGGTTGATCACGTGGGTGAGAAAAAGTAAAACGTTGCAGTAAATTGGTTACCAAAAGAAAGAGTTCCACCTTTGCTAACTGCTCACCAAGACATATTCTTTTGCCTGTTGGATCATAATGAAATTAAAATATTATAGTATTAATACTTGAGAGATGAAAATATAAAAACAAGCATTGATAATGCATAGTCTCCGCTAAATATTAGCTATAGTCGATGTAAATGTTCAGTACAAGTGACATGTACAAATGAAAGATCAATGTTTTTTAACACTAACACAGATTATAGATTGTGTTACTGTCAGTATAGTACCTACCTGGAAACTTGAAC